TATTCTCTGCCATTCATACGCCATTTTGTGACTATCTAACTCCGGACCCTGACAGCATCCCCCCCCCCCCCCATCTCTGAACGATATCGACTGATGGTTAACTGTTTGAATAACAATCAGCTCTAGTAATCACGTCTGTCTTATTCTCTAATCATTTTCCTCGGGGTCATTTTCCGGCTGAATTGACCCGGTCAGTGTGGAGCTTACTTTGGTCATTCATTGTCCAGTAATAGGAAAATCGATTGAATAAATGGGAAATTATCTTTCCTTGGCTGCTTGCCCCTAGGCCAGACGTGAGTCTGTAAATTTATAAAATAAACCAAGTAAGGTTTATGGCGGTATGGCATGAAAATAATCAGTTAACTCACATGGTGTCCAACTGGTCAGTTTTCTGTAGTTAGAAAGAGACTACAGAATACCAAACTATTTTGTCTTACTAGCTAGTAGATTGTGAGGTACAATGACAGTTTTCTGTAGTCAGAAAGAGACTAGAGTATACCAAACTATCTTGTCTTACTAGCTAGTAGATTGTTTGGTACAATGACGGTTTTCTGTAGTCAGAATCAGACTAGAGTATACCAAACTATCGTGTATAACTAGCTAGCAGATTGATTGGTACAATGATAGTTTTCTGTAGTCAGAATGAGACTAGAGTATACCAAACTATCGTGTCTTACTAACCAGCAGATTGTTTGGTACAATGATAGTTTTCTGTAGTCAGAATGAGACTAGAGTATACCAAACTATCGTGACTAACTAGCCAGCAGATTGCTTGGTACAATGATAGTTTTCTGTAGTCAGAATGGGACTAGAGCATACCAAACTATCGTGTCTAACTAGCTAGCAGATTGGTACAATGATAGTTTTCTGTAGTCAGAATGGGACTACAGTATACCAAACTATCGTGTCTAACAAGCCAGCAGATTGCTTGGTACAATGATAGTTTTCTGTAGTCAGAATGAGACTAGAGAATACCAAACTATCGTGTCTAACTAGCCAGCAGATTGCTTGGTACAATGATAGTTTTCTGTAGTCAGAATGAGACTAGAGTATACCAAACTATCGTGTCTAACTAGCCAGCAGATTGCTTGGTACAATGATAGTTTTCTGTAGTCAGAATGAGACTAGAGTATACCAAACTATCGTGTCTAACTAGCCAGCAGATTGCTTGGTATAATGATAGTTTTCTGTAGTCGGAATGAGACTAGAGTATACCAAACTATCGTGTCTAACTAGCTAGCAGATTGCTTGGTACAATGACAGATATTCTGTGGTCAGAATGAAACTAGAGCATACCAAACTATCGTGTCTAACTAGCTAGCAGATTGCTCGGTACAATGACAGTTTTCTGTAGTCTGAATGAGACTAGAGTATACCAAACTATCGTGTCTAACTAGCTAGCAGATTGCTTGGTACAATGACAGTTTTCTGTGGTCAGAATGAGACTAGAGTATACCAAACTATCGTGTCTAACTAGCTAGTAGATTGCTTGGTACAATGAAAGTTTTCTGTAGTCAGAATGAGACTACAGTATACCAAACTATCGTGTCTAACTAGTTAGCAGATTGCGCGGTACAATGACAGTTTTCTGTAGTCGGAATGAGACTAGAGCATACCAAACTATCATGTCTAACTAGCCAGCAGATTGCTTGGTACATTGACAGTTTTCTGTAGTCGGAATGAGATTAGAGCATACAAAACTATCATGTCTAAATAGCCAGCAGATTGCTTGGTACAATGACAGTTTTCTGTGATTAGAATGAGACTAGCGTATACTAAACTATCCTGTCTAACTAGCTAGCAGATTGCTTGGTACAATGATAGTTTTCTGTTTGAATGAGACTAGGGTATACCAAACTATCATGTCTATCTAGCCAGCAGATTGCTTGGTACTATGACAGTTTTCTGTGATCAGAATGGGACTAGAGCATTCCATATTATCGTGTCCAACTAGCTAGCAGATTGTTTGGTACAAGTGAGGGATAAGGTACGTGGTACAGTAGAATGAAAGGTAACATAGTTCCAACTTGGCACCTATCAGACTATTATAACATTACCCCGTGTCCAACCAATAAACAGATTGCTTGATGTGATGTCGTTTTCAGAAATCAGAAATGGATTGGCACAGGACTTCCTTGGAATCTCTACACGCGACAGCGAAACCAAAGAATATGGTGGAAGAAGGGGGTCATTTTGCATCTATACAAAGACTGCATGTATAGCTGCTAATAGCGGTCAATCTTTGATCAGTGTTTGTCCAGGTATGAAGACAGTGTATCGGGCTATGTAAATATAAGAATGGATTCTATTCAAGTGTTGTGTTTTTGATGTTTGGCAATCAATATAGTAGATATTATTTATATCAATAAATACTATTGTACTAAAATAAATATTGTCGTATAACTAACTAGAGAATTCAGGCTAAAACATAGGAAGCCTGGAGGCGACAGTTCTCGTTAAATGTCAAATGAACGCAGTTGGAAAGTCTAGTAAACAGAATGTTGGAGTACTCGGAGTCTTTTAGAAATAGGAAGGATAAAAAGGGACAAAATATGCCGGATTCAGTGGCGGAGCTAGGTTTACGTCCGAAGGGGGGGGGGGGGGGGGGCTAGATATCTGAGATTGTCCGAATTTCTAACCTAGTTACACTGGTCGAGTATCTAACTTGAGGCAGTATGTGCTTTGTATCCCACCAAGAATATAATTTATTATGTATCCTTCATACGAAGAAATTTAAAGCTCCAATGTCCATTGCTTATTGCCCTGATTATCAAGGTCTTTTACATGTTCGATAAGCAAGGTACGATTATTCACATCTCGTTATCATATGATTTGCTTAAGGAACATGAGCCTCTTGTCGATACATGCTCGTTTTAGAATCTAATGGTTATTTTGATATACAGTGGCTGCAATAGAGGTCTGTTAAGATGTAGCACGATTTGGGCTGCGTGTAGACTCCCTACTTTGGATTTTATAGTTTCAAAGATCCAAGTAATTGGTTTGTTCTTGGATAATCTGCCATAAATGGTACCTCGACGTGAAATGTACGTGCATTTCACAAGTGGGTCATTATTTACTATATATAGTGACAAAACAGAAAGAATATACCTATTACCCCATCCCTCCCCGGGGCGTTATGTTTATTATATCAGGCACCCTGGGGATTAATGTTTAACCTATTCTGACTGAAAACATTAGTTGTGGTTTGACAGGTAAAATAATTAGTATGTTAGTATTTGACAGAAGTTTATTTGGTATAAAGCGGAGTTTTTAATCTGTGACAAAACTTAGACCGTGACTAAAGCCTTCTACACGCGCCCCTTATCAGTGATGTCGGTTTGGGGGGCTTGTATGGAAACACATATAACTTCGGATGGTTCAACAGTAGACCAACATTCTCGAACAATCACCGACCCCTTCCTCCAAACTCAGCAAATGTAATGATGTTAATTTTTAATGGTGATGTTTGTTACGATCTCTACATGTTTTTTTTAAATCAAGCTAGCCTTGAATAAAGTCCAGATTTTCCCAGGCTGTGAAATAGGTCAGTGTTTTACGGGGGTAATTTTTATCAATAAAATGTTTTTTGATAGATTTGGTCTAGTCTTGATAATTATATCTTTCATTTATTAACCCTAATTTCATACTTGTATAAACACATTGATGAAAATTGAACGAGTTATATTGGGTCCCTTGGACGATTAGCCTTTGATATTGCCTCAATTTTCTTCCCTTTGTATTAGTAAGAGTGGATGTAACAACAATATATATATGAAGTTACGAAAGCACAGGCCGAGATGAAACTTCAGCTACATCAACTTGATATTTATAAAGTAATGAAATTAAAATATAAAGTGATACTAATTACAAATTAAATAATTCTAAAATAATAGAGTATATATATTAATGTGAATGAAGTTGGGGATTAGAACATAGTCTCATAAAAGCACTGACCGAGATCGCGATAAAAAGTGCAAGTTAAAGGTTAAGATTATTAGATACGTTATGTTTTAAAACCACTAGGCTGACTTTCGGAAACACTGACTGTTGAAATAGTTAGTTTTGTTCTGCACGATACTTGCAATTTTAACAGGTATATGTCGGCTGGTCCTTTCATTGATTTCTTAAAGTGAATTGTTATACAAACAATAAAATTTATCAATTAACAGAGGCCTAATTGGGTAATTAATTAAAGAAATTAAACAGGGTGACTAAAAGGTTTTTAAAACTACTGTTAAAACCAATTAGGTCCAATTAGACTTCAAACATACCGGTTATAGGTGGCTTGAAACAAAGAGCATCTTTAAAGAGAACATGAGGGAAGAAATGTAACTGAAATCACTGGTTGAGGGATCAGATTTCAGACGGATACATGAAAAAAAGGGCAAGGGTTGTAGCCTACAGGACGAATTTATTAAAACTCTGGATCGTCAGTGAGATAGGTACCCAGAGCAAGTGATTTACTTGACAGGGGTCTAAGAAGATCTGTGTTCAGTAGGATCGGACGTGCAAGTCGGAAAGGGTTTTTACAGAACGGACCCCGGGCCAAGTGAAGGGTTATATGACCTACCCAGAGAGAAGGGCTGTATAGGACGAGAGAGCAGGGGTATACAGGACTGACCCTAGTCTGTCAGTAAGTTAAGTGAACGAGAGAGTGAGGTACGAGTGAACATTACTAACTATATAACTGTATAGTGAGCTTTAACAGATCTCAAGTCGCGTGCATTCACTCCAACTTCTCTGATCTCCAGTCATTCAGTCAGTCAGGGATAGCGTGTGGAGAGTAGACTACTTTCTAGCTTCACTCTAAACTTTCTAACTTTCTACTGGATTTACCTTATTGCCCACATTTATAATAGCAGAATGGCGGGGTGTACTAGTGGATCTGTAAAGTTACTATGTGTTGTATTTCTAACCGTACTCTGTGCATTATCTGTGTCGAGTCAAAGAACATGCAAGGAGGCTGATATGTGTTGTAAAGCTCAGAACAATACTTGTTATTTATTCGGACCCAGGATGGACGGGAATTATAACGAATCCAGATGTTATTGTGATGCCAATTGTCTAATAATGGGTGATTGCTGCATTGATTTTCACAGCCATTGCGAAGGTAAGAAATTCAAAATTTAATTCTTTTGTCCGATGTTTTTTTCTGTGCAAAATGACTTCCTGCCAACTTTCAGGAGCCACGATGGCACTTTTTTTCATGTCTGATTCTTTTCTTTAAATTGCTTTCATCGATGCATTAAGTTTCCATGCAACGTTACCTTTATATATAAGTAATCAATGCAATATTATGAAAGATATGACGTTATAACCGGGCAATATTGAGTGTAATGCCCGCTTCATATTTTATAACTACAAACAGAACTCTTTGAACTTTTGCGGCTGCCATTTTGGTTATTCCACATCGTAACTACATTACCTTGATATTTTTATAACTTCTGCAGACGTCTTCAATATCAAAAACATACATGAGTATATAATACATAAAAATAATATGGATATGATTATGTACAACAGGGCAATATAAGTCTCATAACGCACACTTGTGAAGTTAAAAAAAAGTTTTTGAAGAAACTTTCAGAAGTTTTTCTTGTTAATGGTACTTAATGGTGATGTCGTCTATTAATAGAACTAGGGTTGTAGATAGTTTCTAGTTATCTCTAATTTTTACCTCTAGTAGGCCTTCAGCTGATGTTGTTCACTATCGGAACTTTCTTTGAAGTTTTTACGGTAAAGCTGGAGTGTGAAGGATTGGTTGGAGACATAGATTGATTACCTAAAGCATGAACCATGGCATCAGAATTTTGTTCACCTCGAGAGGGATTATAACTCATAGCACTTTATTTTTGCTTAAAGTTAGCACCAGGGTCTTTTATTATTAACTTAAAGTTTTTTTTGCTACTCTTGAAAATTGTCAAGTGTCTTCTGATTTTATTTTACTATAAGTTGTAAGGTTTGCTTTGCTAGACTGAGACATTAATTTTAGGGTTTTGTTTTCATTTCATTGATTTTAAAGTTGTAAGTTTGGAAGGGTATAGTATACTATATTAGTTGACTATATAAGATAAGGGAATATAAATTATAATATACAGGTATATGATTACAGTCCACCTCAAATCAAATCATTTTTAACCTATGTTTGATCTGGGTTAGTTTGATGTCAAGTGAGCTCCTAAACCAATATCTTCTTCTTCTAACTTCTTGCTAATTCAGCAGTTTAAAACTGATTTTTTTAACTTTTGCCAAGAGGGAGAAAGGTGGAGAATAGAAGTGAGTTGACTCTCAACAGCATGGGCTATGGCATCTTAAATTTTTCTTAGATGGAAAACAACAGACTTCTTAACTTTTGTGTTTTACACCCTTCTTCTTAAAACAGGTAACACTATGAAGTGTGCAATGAGGGAAATTTTTCCAGAACAGCAGCGGACTCTATTTTGATTTCCAACTGTTGAATGATTGTAAGAATACCATAACCAATTGATTGGGCTAATGCAGACAAGCAAGGCCATGCAGTGTGGAATGAGGGAAATTTTGCACCGGACAGCAGCATTGGCCTATTCTATTTTGATTTCCAACTGTTTAGGGATCTTGAAGAACAACATGATCAATTGATCGTGCTAATGCAGTGTGCAATAAGGCAAATTTTGTCAGGGCAGTGGCATTAGCCTACTCATTTTGTTTTTCAACAGATCTTAAAGAGTACCCAAGCAATCAATATTTTAACAATGGATGATATTTAGATATTGGAGTGTATTGACTGGTCTATTCTCTAGTTCAGTGTCTCTATCTCAGAGTAGTGTCAGGTGTTCAAGATGAATAGTTTAGCTGGTCAATATAACTATAAAATTCAGTTATAAAACAATAAAATTGATTCTGACTGTTCAACATATAAAAAACCCCAATAAAATTGAGTCATATTGTCCAATATCTCAAGACAGCTGTGGTATATGGTAGACAGACAAAACTCCCCAGACAAAAGCCCCTCTGCAATTTTGCATGCGGATAAGTGCATCTATCACCTAGGATAAAAGTCCCACCACAAAAATCAAAATTATGTAAAATCTTTGATATACAGGCCTTCTAAAAAAAACATTTATGGTATATAATATTCATTACATCTAATGTGTACACGTCTCTTGTTTATACAGGTAAAGGTAAGGTGAGATGGGTTGAAAGCTGACACTTTCTGACTATTGGATGCACTTGCTGTAAAAAAAATTTTGAGGAAATTTATCATTATATATAATCAGTGGAGTTATTTAACCTTAAGTTTCTCCTAACCATCCCCTCCCTAATCACTTTCCAGTCATCCCCCCTTGCACCATTTCCCCTGGCCCCAAACATCACCCCACCCCAGACCACCCCACAATAATCAATAATAATGATATAACTTGATATAACAATATATTGAACAAGACATTGAATCAGGATGATTGAATTACTAATGCCAGACTTATAATCGTTCAATGGAAGTTATTGGATAATAATATCTGAGTGAAACAGTAGATCAGAATAGAAGCTATGTGTATTACAGGTTGTACAGAAGTAATAATTTGTATCAATACAATGACATGATTTGTTGCCATGGCCATTGTTTATGATAATTCCTTCTCAATCATACCCTCTCCCTGCCCGGTAGCTAGCCCAAGTTTCAGAGAGTGGGGAGGGGCATCTCCAGTAGGTCTATTTTATGCAATAAGACATACATTACTACAAAGCCTGATTCTGTATGATTATAGCAGGACATTTTTAATATCTCTCCACCCCAACTCCTTAGCTACATCTTTTTTTTAACCTAGCGAGTGTATTTCATTCACAAGCCTTGTAAAATTCAGGTAAATCTTGTAAAGTTTTAGGAATGAGCATCTTTATAAGTTTGATGTGAAATGATTTCTGTAGCTAGCCATGTAGAACAATCAACTAATAAAATCAGCCAGTCTAATAGAGCTGTAACTCTGTTCTACTTCAATTAACACAATTTGACAATTCTATTTAAAATGATTTTGTGGATTTGCTTGGATTTGATTTAACTCCTGAATGATAATTGTGATGAAGGGAGGCTGACATGGAAAAAGTGTCTAGTCCTTCGGTTGGGACAATAGACCGAGGCCCCGTGTGCTACAGGCTGTGCACGTTAAAGATCTTTGGACGGAAGGAAATAGAAAAAGAGTTTGTTAATGTCACAATAGACCAAGGCTACAGGTTGTGCAAATTAAAGACCCCATGACAGTTGGAAATAGGAAAAGAGTCACTGTCCTGGAAAAATTTCCCTCATTGCACACTGCATGGCGTTGTCCATTTTCATTACCCCAATCAGGGGCAGAAAAGTAGGATGTAAAACTCCATTCATTTCATTTTGGACCATGGTAGTCTTTTATGATGACCTTGAATGTGTCATATTGCTCATTATTCCAGTCAACCCAGATGTAAGTGGGTACAGATAATCCGGGAAAGATCAATACCAACTGTTAGACAGAATCTTTGAATAACAAGATCTTTGAGAAACTATATTGTTATCTTTGTAAACTCCATTTTAAGATCAAGGATCAGCTGGTAGACAGTAAGCTTAAATGATAAATTTTGAGAATTTTGATTTTGAATACTACAAATTATATATATTCAGACATCTTTATTTTTGACTTCTCAAAAAATCCAGGTTTAAAATTTAAAAAAAAAAGCTGTGAATGAAGTTAAAAAGTTAAATTTAACATTTTCTTCCGTATTGAATGAACTATTGAAGGTCATTTTAACGTTGACTGTTGATTTTAAAACTGAAGAGAATTTTAATCTGGAAGTACTTGAGTTTGTCACAATCTATCAGTGTCCCAGTGAAATACATGTCTTTTGTTGTGAATCGTTGTAGCGGGGATTTCATGACTGAATGATTGGGGGCAGGGATTGGGTCGTAGAGGTGTCAGGGGTTATACAGGTTGATAAATTGACCAGGGGGGTGATTACAGGGCATGCATTAAGTTACGTAACACCCTGAACAATGTAACCAACTATCAAAATGTGATCAGTCCAATTGAATAGTATCTAGATCCTTTGTAAAGTATCGAATACCCCTTATAAATTAGTAAGGGTCATGGAAATTGTTTTGAAACTGATAATCTTATAAAACCATGTTAAATCCCTGTAATTTCTGATTGCCTATCATTACATCAGTTATACTTGAAAGATTGTTTAAGGGCTCTCCCAGTTTAATCCTCTAAAACTTCTGTTATTTTATAAAGAGATGGCTTAAAAGGTTGTTAAAACCTTTATAATCTTAGAAAAGTCTTTATCAAAACTCTGTGTAAAGGGGTTGTGATATCAGAAGCACTAACCATGGAATCAGAATTGCTCTTTAATACCTTGAGGAGGAGGATTCAAACTCGCAGACCCTAATAACCCGAAGCAGAAGACAAATTTTGCAACAGAGCTAACCACTGCTACAGTGGTGTTATTATATTTTAGATATAACCCTGTCCCTGTGAACTTTGTGTAACAGTGTATAAAAGAGGCCATAAATGTAAAAAGAAAGGTCCTCTGAAACTGCTGTTATCATATAATGGGATAGCATCCTCCCTTTTAAGTCAGATTTTGTATTTCAGGACAAAGTTGTTAAAACCCTTTTAATCTTATGAAGCCCTTGTCGAAATCATGAAGAGGTGTTGATCTGGTCACCGAAAGTACTGGCAATGGCAATCAGAATTGTTCTTTCCTCAAGAAGGATTCGAACCCATGGCACCTGAAAGACAACTTTTTGGTCCCTTCAAACTTTGTGTAACCTTGAATAAAGATGGCATTTAATATAAAAAACCAATATTGTCCTAAATCCCATGTTGTTTAAAAGCCTTTCAATGTCAGACGTCCTCAGGGGATGGAAATAACATTGTTTAAATAGCAACCCTTCAATTTATCTTACAAACATAAAATAACAGCTTTTTGTTAAATATAGGTGTACATGTATATAATTGAGGTAGCCCCTCAAATTGCCCCATTCCAAAAACTCTCATCAATTTTTATTGCCACCATCAATAGATCTGACAAAAACAAAATGGCAGCCCCCACATATCAAATGTCCAAAGTTGTCACCATGACAATAGGTACTTGTGTCTGGCCATCAAGGTGAAAGTGTCCAC